GAGTACGTGCTGCTCATGGCGCGGGGTGCCGCCATCGCCTACCCCAAGGTACCGCCGCGCCCCGGGCGGCCGCCGCGTCTGCCTCCTCCCGCAGGCTGGTAACGGGGCGTGCTTTGTAACCCGCAGGATGCGAGCGCCATGCTGATGATGATGGACCTCCACCCGGGAGACACCGTTTTGGAAAGCGGCAGCGGATCCGGCGCTCTGAGCTTGTATCTGTCAAGAGCAGGTAAGGCCCTAGGTTAAGCAAGCGTAGGAGCAACGAATTTCTTCCGTCGCTTGCTGCTTTTCCATTCATCAAGATCTTGAAGTCTGTTTTTCAGGCTTTGCTGCAGTTTTCTTATTTGTATATACTCCATTGACTTAAGGTAAAATTAGATCTGTATCGATCCACTTCCTTACCTTTCTCAGTTTCCCTTTTCTCACTTTGCTGGACCACGTGAATAATCAGCGTGTTGGCGTGCTGGGTGAAAACATCTACATGGACACACAGTGTTGTTTCATGTTACACCTAACCTGATTTGATCTGGGTGTAGGTGCTCTGAAAGGTAGAGAGCCTTGGGCCATGCTGTCCTGCCCTCTCCCTTGCACTTCTGCCGTCTGAATCTGTTAGTTAGCAGCTGGTTTGGAGAGCGAGTCTGGCTGAAAGCTATTCTTTTCCTTCCTCTAGATCGTAGGTTTAGTTTCCTGCCAGTTTCACTCCCTGAGTAAATTCACTGCAGGGTCACAGGAGAGTTGGCATTTGCAAGGGAAAGTGGCAAGCAAATGTGATTGGGGTAGTAAAGGAGCAGAACTGCTCCTCTTGGCAGCACCCAACTCTTAGGTGAGTTTTGTTCTAATGGGAAACTACACCCTTAAACTTCATCTCGCCTGCAGTCATCCTGTGTAGTGCCAGTGGACCAAACTGCAGAGTAATTTGATTGATGGGCTCCTGATAACTTCCCCAAGAAAAATAATTTGGTATTGATTTCTTTGTTTGCTGCTACTGTTTTTGCTTACACCTGAGCATTAAAGTATCGTTTGAATCTCTTCCAAACTGGTATTCTAAAAATTATTTCTGCTGATGCACGATACTGCCCCTTCCCTGCACCGTTAAAAGGAGCTATGAGGGTAAAGCCAGGAACCCCATCATAGATCATCTTAAACTGGTATAACCAAAAAAAAAAAGAAGTGGAATTTGCATATCCTGATGGCTATGTTCAAAGACAGGGTTTGTGGACAACCCACCATCGCTATAACTAAATACTTGAAGTTGCCAGCCGTGGTCACTGAACCTGAGAAACACCCACCTATCCTGAGCTTATGTGAAACCTCAACACTTTTTTTTTTGTGTGTGTGTGTTTTAGCATTTTTCACCGTTTGGTTACAAATCAGCATTATAAATTATGCTATCTTTTTAAAATGTTTATGGGTTGAGCTGTTTTTGTGATCAAACTTGGTATCATTCAACACTTCCAGATTAAAAAAAAAACCCACTTTCTAATACTTCCACTTCTAATACTTTCTAATATCTATGGGAAGTGATGCTTTCTCTCCCGCCTTCTCATGCGAGAGACAAACTGAACAAATCACCTTTTTTGTTTAAGGCTGTTAAATAACCTTAGAACGTAAGGGCAGTGAATTCACTTTCTTTTACTCTCCCAGTTGTCCAACTGTCTTTCTACATAAGTTCTGGGATAACAGCACAAGTTGTCTTAGCAGCATCTTCGGAGGAAGCTTAGTATTGAGCAAGTATGTTACTAGGGCCACCTATCCAATTCTGTTCTGGGATGCCAGGATGTATTGCTGAGGATAAAATCAAAGTTAGGAAGAGTTATGCTCAGTGAATGGTACAAACCAGAGTGCTGAGATCCAGCCGCAGCTGAAAATGGGCAAGGGCACACCAGCAGCAGAAAAAGGGAATCTGGAGGACTCCCTGCTGGACAGTTTGTTCTGCTCAGTCCAATTGTTTTAGCTGCAGTAAACTTTGTCTGGCATCCCAATTCAGTTGGAAACACTATTTGAATGGTAAGACATTAAATGCTGCCCCAAACTCACTCAATTGCAGGTCGTCTTGATGTATGTTGGGCCCAGGTTTTGAGGTTAGCAGTTCTGCCTCTGGTCCGTCTCCCTCCTTCCACCTCCCACTACTAATCACAATTTCTTCCTATCGTCTTCATATGATATGTGTTTTTTTCTGTGATTCCATGGTGGGATTTTGAAGATAGTATGCCATCATCCTCAAAGCAACCTTTGCTGCCTTGGAGCTAGAAACAAACAAAACAGAAGAGGAAAGTCACCACTTTACTTTCCGGAGATGTATTTGGAGAGAGGGGAAATAGAGCCATTTTCATCTTCTCCCATCTTCCTCTATGTGCAGACCCTACATCCGAAGGAAAAGACATACCTGTTGTTTGCTAATGCAGAAGTTAGCTTTTGCTAAATACAGCAGACTAGTTACTACATTGGATGTTCGCTACACTGTGACCGTTTCATACAGACTCACCTGCACTTGCAGATAGTTTCTCTCCTTTTTCCGTGTTGCCTAATGGGTTCCTTCTGACTGCTGACTTCAATTTAGCTGTAACTGTGCCAAGTCAGCAAAAACATGTGTCACCAGAATGGGAAGAAAGCAGGCTTTGTGCACCAGCTCGGTTCTGTCTTGGTGAGGGAGAAGGTGTATGTATGAGATTGTATTGCTATTTTCAAATTTACCAGACTTAAATCAATGCCAAATAGTCATAGTTCTAGTCATAGCTTAGGACAATTTGGCACCAACCTGAAAATACGTAGGTTCAACTTGCTCTTTCCTAATGCTGGCTAATTTTGCCACCATTTAATACAGTGATACTGAACAAGACTAATAACTGCTACACAGGTAAATGCTTGAATTTAAATCTGGTGGACACAGTGCAAAAATGGGTATTTTCTTAGATACAGATGCATGGAAGTATTTAGTTATCAAAACTTCCATTTTAACAGATTTCAGTAATCTCGTATGACAGTTAATCTCATGTTTGCTTACCATTGTCATTCTTTAATCTTTCTCAGAGATTCCTGACAGACGCAACGCGAAAAAGTTCAGACTAGGTTAAGAAGGTGGCATTTGCTGTAACTTTAAAATCTTTGAAACCTAGAGAATATAATGTGTCTGAACTTGACATTCTGCAACGTTGCAATAATAAAGGGTTTTGTCCAGCTATTTTAACTGCTTGCTCTTCTTCTTTTTTCAGAATTCAATTTCAAAATGTAAGAAATTAAAAGGGAAGGGGTGAGCAGAGGAAGCAGTTAAGACTTGATTCCAATCCTCACAATTTTGTTCTTCAAATGTTTCCAAATTGATACTTCTTGAGTAATAAGGAAATGGTGCTGCAATTCTACAACTGTTCAAGGTGATCTAAGGAGGCACTGCTGGAATCCTGCCTCCTTACATGTTGGCACTGGCCTCTGATCCAGAGCAAGCTAGATCAGGGAGAAATTGGCAGAAAACCCATTCCTCCTTTTGTTGGGTTAGTTTTTCAGATGGATTCACAATGAGATCAAATGGAACAGGGAAGGAACCTGGTGGACACAACTTCAAATGGCTTAAAAATGTCACGGAACCCCTACCTGGAGAGCTTCTGATTGCTGAAAGCTTTCTGTGCCCATTAAGAATTAGCAGGGAGAAAGAGAATTTAACAGTATGTCATGTCTGCAAGAATTGGAAAAATACAGCAATACAAGTATTGCTCTCCTTCCTTGAATATTCTGATAACACTTCCTTTATGAAGAATATATGTAACGGACTTGTACTGTGAATTTCAGAATAAAACAAAGGTAAATTTAGAAATAAATAATATTATATAAAAGAATAAAAGAATATATAGAGAGATAGAATACATAAAAAGAATATTATTTCAGAATAAAATAAATTTAGAATTTCAGTATATAGTAAATTTATACTTCGATAATTGAATAATGTAATTTATATTTATTACAGTTATAAACAATAACATGAAAATAATACAAGCTGATGTAGAGCAAAGAGTAACTTCTCTCTGGAGCTGAGATCAGGGAGCAGGTCAGGCGGTTTTCTTATCCTTTCTTCTACCCTAAGATGGGACAGACAGAGAACAAACTACGCATAGAAAACAACAAGTCTTTGTAAAAATCAGGGTTGTCAAAAAATTTTAAAGCTATAAGCATCAAAACTTAGGAACAACAGGAGCAATCAACTGTCCACCTGCTCCTAACACCTGTGACTAGCAACCCACATTGCAGCTTTCTCAGCTGGCACCTCTGGCAGCTATAGCAGGAAGTCTATGAATCACTTGGGCCACAGATGACCGTAAAGTCATCTTTACTGCAAGAGGTGCTCTGGGAGGACATCCTAGGAACAGTTTGTACCACAGTAACTATGCTTTATTTTATCAGTGGGTCGATGGAGTTCAGGCTTTAAAAAAAATAACCTAGCACTTTGCATATATTTGCTTTAAATGTAAAGGAAAAAATAAACTGTAACTGATTTTATATGTAATTATTTCCTAAAGTGAAGCTGAGATTTAAAGGTGTGCAACTTCTGTAATTTCCTATGCTGCTTTTTTTCTAAATCCTTTATTATGGATGGGGGGAAAAAGTAGTAAATGTGGTATGCTTTGTTTATTTTAAGTTGGGTCCAAAGGACGTGTTGTAAGTTACGAAATCAGAGAAGATCATCACAATTTAGCTAAGAAGAATTACAGGCAGTGGCGTGCTTCATGGGAAATAGGACATATGGAAGAGTGGCCAGATAACGTGGATTTCATTCTTAAAGACATTACAGCAGCTGCTGAGGATATGAGATCTGTAACATTTGATGCAGTAAGTCTGAAAAATCCCCACCTCAATGACACAAATGGACATTTATCTTTTCAACATAAATTAAAATCTCTTGCTTTCCCACTCGCAATGGAGTTTTCCATATGTAGCTTAACCTGAGCAAAAACAATCAGATCCACACCAATAAAACATGGTGAGGTATTCCTTTGTCAGGTTGTTCTGTAAGAGTTTTCAAAAGTTCAGCTACGCCTTCCCAAATGAAAGGGTGACATGGCCCTAATATAAAAATATTGCAGTTAATCATGTGTACTTGTTTCTTGTATTTTAGAGAAATTGATGTTTTTATCTGATTAGGCATATATTTCAAACATAAAGTATATATGCTTATTGAAAATATAAATATGTGAACACTTCAATATCAGCTATATAGAATGTAAAATGTTACTAAGATCTATGTTTGAGTAAGGCATGCTACAGCCAGCTCTTCTCTCCTGCTTTTTATATCCTGACTTCAAAGGAGGGAGCTGTCTTGGGAGGAACAGTTGGATGTTATCACTTTTCCGTATAAAGTAGGCAATCTAGTTATATTAACAGTTCAAACAAATTACAATTAAGTTTAACAGTTTGAGTGAAGAAACAAAATGGCTAGTATAAAAATAACATCTTTGAAAACTTCAAATGTAACGATCCACAGGAAAGATCACACATTGCATATTCCACTGTTTTACCGTTTGTATAAGTCTCTAGCAGATGTAGATCATGCCAAAGACAGACGTTTTCTAAGTCCTGAAACAAACAGGAAGTTAGGCATTGAGACTTCACTGTTATCTTTTTCATTGTAAGGAAGCATTAGAACGTTTTAATCACTTGAAAACTAGATAGCCAATGTTAGCACACGTGAATATAGTCTTCCATAAGGTTTTTAGTAACGTCAACATTATGGAGTTCAATTAGCAAGAAGTTTGAAATTAACACAAGACTACAGCATCGGATAAATGTGTAACTTGCTTGTTTAATAGAAATTCATGTGCAGGTAGCAAGGACTTTGTTTTGTAAATGTACGGACCTCACGTTTCTTTAAGCTCTTCAAAAGTAGTACTAGAATTCATGTTGGCAATAATACGCTGCTGTTGTATGCATTTATTTTCCATATATAAACATAGTGTTTTTCAAGTGGTGTCGTTACGGATAACTTGATATGTGCATTCAAGTTCACTGGAAAAATATACATATCTTTCTCTTGCAGATAGTTCTGGATATGCTTAACCCTCAGGCTGCTTTGCCTGTTGTATACCCAAGTCTTAAACATGGTGGTGTGTGTGCTGTGTATTTAGCAAAGTAAGTATTTAATTCTGGGATTTACAAATGTATTCAGGCATCACCTAAAACTGTTAAAAAAAAAAAAAAATCCCCCATCTTTTCACACGTACAGCTAACGTTAAATATTTAACAAAATTAAAATTTTTTGCATTGTTCTTGAATTTTTTTTTCTTTTAGGAGCTGCAATCAGTATAAATTACACTTGACTAAAACCTGTAATCTTCTCTAAGGGAACACTCAATATGGGCCGGGGTATTTTCAATATGGGCCGGGGTATTTTCAGTTAACAACGTCCTCAAAATAATTTTGTATTGTTTTCCAATTCAGTACTCAGATTTCCAGCTCCTTTACCCTAAAAGGGAAGGACTCACGTCAACCCAAAAGTAAAGAATATGACAACGGAATTCAGACCAGCAGTATTATCTGTTGATTTCAGTTTTCAAAATATTGCTTTATCCTTTGCATTTCTCCAAAAGCATCACACAGGTTATTGCCCTTTTAGACAGAATACGGACCCGCAAGCTCCCTTTTTTGTGCGAAAGGATCATTGATGTAACACACAGGAATTGGTTAGTACTCCCTGCTAAAATCAAGAATTGCAAATCAAGCCAAATAGTGGAAACTCAGGAAAATACTGAGGAAGAACCTCAACAAAAAAAACATGAAGAAATCCATTTTCAGGATCAAGCAGTTCTTAAAGAAAGTGAATATGATGGTAAGAACATTACTGTTAATGAGCTATACAGTAACTGCAATTTGATAGTCTAAGGATTTAGTGAAGACAAAGTTTGTAGGAAGAGGCAGTATCTTTTCTTAGATCAGCTGATATTCTCCTGAAGAACAGAGAAGCTTTTAGAAAACCTTTGCCTTCCCAGGATTGAAAAATTATATATTAATGGCTCTTTGAATTTAAATATCTTATTAAAAATCTAAACTAAATAGAAAACAAACTGCAATCTATAACTTAAGAATGCCTGTCTTTTCATTACTGTTCTCAGCTACTTTTTATCTATATAAAATTAATTTATTCATACTCAGCCCATTGCTGCTTTTAAGGACCCTGATAAGTTTAAGGATTCCATGGAGGGGATGTTACCCATGTGCTTTGTTTTCTAATTTTTTTGTTTTTGCTATTCTAGCAAATCCCCCCCCCTCTCCCCTCCTCAAACAAAAAAATCATACCAGTATAGATTTGCAAATTCCACAGTAGAGCAAAAAGGTCTGAATGCACTGGTATGTGACAATGAAGCAGTTTAACAGAAGCAAAAAGAAAGTGAAAAACATCAAGGAAAAGTAGCACACACACTTTGTTAACTCTAGTCTGATGTATGTATTTTTAAACCTGTTGGAAAATTTAAAAAATGCACGCTTTTCACAGAGTCACTTCCTGACAACGTTGAAACATACTGCTCAGTACCTTACATTGCTAGACCATCTTATTGGCAAGATGCTCATTCAGGTGAGAAGTCGGGAAAGTATTCTTATCTTAAATGTTTAGTGGTATTTTATTTTGAAAAATACTATTTTTTATGCCAGCACATTTGACATGTTACTATATAATGCAATCATAACATTTATAGCAATAAAGTAATTGTTGCATATTGAAATACTGTAGTAACATGTTTTGTTTTTTAATTAGCGTTCCTCACCAAGCTGAGAAAGTTTCAACCACCTCTTTCTTGATGTTGCTCAGATGTCAGCTGCTAATTTGGGTATGGTATCAGAATAAAATAAAATGTTGCAAAATGACCACTATGTTTTGCAAGTTGTTTAACTTATAAGAATTATTGCTTTGATTTCTACTGCATATGAACTTTGACCAAATTCCATGAACAATTTGAAGGAAAAGGTTTTAACAGAATCCATCACATATGATACTGCTATACAATGCAGATTGTTACACAAAGAACAGAATTTATATTTCTGTCCCATTTGAAGCATTTCATTCTTCATTTCTTGTAAACCAATCCATGGATTTGTCTTGGTTCAAGGTGCTACCTCGTCTCCTTTTGTTGGACAGGCTGTGATAGTCTACCAGAAATGAGGAGAAAAAATACTGGTAAGAAAATAGATCAAATTCTGCCCTTTGAAACTTAAGTGAAACAGCTGATGTCACTGGTTGGTAGCTCAATTTCGTTATGAAAAATATTTGCACAACTGTAATAGAAACTGAAAGTCACTGAATTTGTGCCTCTTGATAAAGCCGCATTGATTTCAATAAAAGACCAGTTGTGGACAAATACATCTTCGGTTCATTTCCAGCAACCATGCTGAAAGTTGTCTAGTTGTGAACTTTGTTTTGAACATTTGAGAGTACTTTGTACATAATGAACAAAATTTGTTCTGACCTTTCTCAGATATAAAACAGAGTAGCTCTCTAGTAAAGATGCTAGACTGAAAAAGGAGGAACAGAAGCATTGCATTCAGGGTCTCATAAAAGTCTCCATGTATGCATATGGTAATGTTTAACAAATTAATAAATTTATGCAATGGTGTGTTGTAGCCGTCTGACTAATTCTGTATCTCAAAGAACATTCAAATGAAAAATGTTCAAGGTTGAGGGGTCCCTTCAGAATCACAGTTATACTCAAGCTGTCAAAAACAGTAACACAATCAATCCTACTACAATAGTGAGAAGTTGGGTATTAATGAGGACATATTCAAATTAAAAATAGAGATGTAAATTAACTATAACCCTTCAATCTCTCATACTTAAAATTTTACACTAGTTAAGCACATGGACATATCTTTGTAGAACTGAGGCCTTATACAGTTCCCCCAGGAAGTTTACATCTCAAGTGTGCTACCAGTCTTAACCGTAAAGTAATGCTCGCCCGATAACTAGTATATGTAATGGAGGCCTCTCATAATGAGGCTCAGGCGACTAATTTGAAGTAGCTTGATGTGCAAAGATTCTATTACGTTATATAAATTTAACGATAAAGTGTTGTATTTTTTCTTTTCAAGCCCCGTCATAAAAGGAAACGCTGTTAAAGGCTTTGAGATACACAAACAGAAGTCTGAACAGTTGATTTAATGCTCCTCCAAACCGACAACAGTAGTTGAGGAGCCTCCCCTTTCTAAAAACACTGCTCACACCAAGAATCTTTTCGCTCACGTGACACACGCTTATTTTTACTGTTTCTTCTAACTACTCATAAACATTTAATATGATTCTAAATTTAATTTATAAGGCAAGAGTACAAATCAGTCTGGAACGCATTCCAAAACCTGCTAGAGAGGCTGAAGATAATTGGAACAGACTTGGAATATAAGGTCCTGCAGTCAGTACTTGCAGGAAGTCAAAACTGGCAAGAGATGAAAACAAGAATGGAATGTTTTGGTGAAGCAAGATACATTTTCCTGGTTGTGGTAGAGAAAAAACAATGTATACTTTTTGCAAAAATGGCTTCAGATAGGATACTAGCTCTTAAACAGGCAAGTGACTTTCCTGTTACCAAAATCCCGAGGCTGTTACCTCTTTACTATAAAAGTTTACCCAGAAAGAAGAAAGAGTAGCACGCAGCCTACGTACAGGTGAAGTTAATTGACTTCATGCTGCTACTGCATCATTAAGCAGTCAACTAGATGTTTTCTTTTTTTTTTGTATATATCAAATCACAGTGGTGCTTTTCACTTTAAATTGGATTTGGAAGAGGTGGCTAAGGTTTTAGGAGGCGTACTCTTTTTTTTTTACAGTAGGAACCATTTTGTTACGCTGTCCTGCTGATGTTCCCGGAAGTTTTTTCTCATTTTCCATTTGGTTATAGATAAAGCAAGAGAAATAACAGAAAATTCCAGTAACTATAGAAGAATAAAGGTATAAGACAATCACATGGTATAAATGAAAATCTGTGGCAGTAAAAGCGTAGTCTTACCAGAGTAACTGCATTCATAAAAGAGGTTTCTGCTAACACAAGAGTTTGCATCTTGACATACCAAGAAGGACCTAGCAGTCCCTTCACAAGTCTAAAGGGCACACACGGCCTTAGTTGGATAGAGCATGTACATTGTTTAGGGCTGTTTATACAGATACAAATACTTTTATACAGGTAACTGGGATTTACTGATACCGATCTAAACCAACTAACTGAAAATTACTTGCAATATTAAACCATACCTTGGGCATAAGAAAAAGGAGGGTCAACCAGCATTTTTTCAATTGGAAAGGTGTCCTTCAAATCCTGAGATAAATGTGTTTCCATCATCTCGAAAGTGCCAGTAGAGGAAGAGGAAGATGATGATAATCCTAGTCCTACAAATCTTCCTTTCTTACCACAAAGCAAGCAGTCTACAGGAGTAGCGCTAGGTCCTCGTGGCAGCTGTACTTCCTCTTTGTTATAGTTTCTCACAGCTCCGCTGTGGTGCACAGAACGTTCTCGCTGCCATATGTAATGTGTTGGAGCAATAGCCATTACCTATCAGAACAGCCATTACATCAGAAACCATAAAAATAACGGGCAAACATAAACCTGAAAACAAGGGATCCAATTTATGTGTGGCAGAAAGTTAAGAATAGACAGTTGAGGCAGATATCATCTATCTGCTTCTATCTCACTAAAAAGTTTACTACCCTAGGCAAGGATAATTGAACTAGTTACAAATCAGATGTTGAAGCACTACCGTTTACAGCCCTGTATACTCACATAAGCCATCACAAAAAGCAGTTTGTGCTTAGTATGTTGGGCTGAAGATGATGTATTTTATCGATTATTAAACGTGATCTAGATGCTGGCTCACAAAGTCTCTAAACTGATGATCACTAGAAGCTGGGAAGGTATGCTGGAAAAAGGACTATATGCTTGCCTAGTTCCTTGTACTTTTTCCATGTGCAACATCTAATGCTGTCCCCAGAGGTGGGATGCTGGAGTAAACGACATTTTGTTTTCCACGAATTATAGTAAATAGTACATTCTTATAACACGTTCAGGCTTTGCCAGACAGAGGTATTCCATCTGAAAAGTGGGGAATGTCTTCTTCCCGTATTTTTGAAAAAATGTAGGTTATAACAATGCATTAATAGCAAGAAAATGTTAAAAGTTTGTCCTTTCGCCTTTCCCCCCCCCCCCGAAATGCACTGAAAAACTCTTATTTTACAAAGTCAATTGAAGTTACGCTATTAATTTTGATGGAATTAAAATTTAACCCAAGGGGCTATTTTTTTTTTATTTGAAGGTCTTATTTTGTGTACTTTTAATTTGTAAAGCTGACACAAAAATAAGTATTTCTAAAGTGAATGAAGTGAAGCAGCCAATGGTAAATTTTAACTAAAAATATTTGCATAAAGCAGAAGGATTCTGTCTATAAAAACTTTAAACAGTAGCACAATGCAAAACACTGCAGTTTACCTTAAAGTAGAGTTTCAAAGAATATATTTTGAATGCAGAAGAACTTTGAAAAAAGATAAATGGGTCATGACATTTTAGCTGCCTCTTTTCTGTACCGTATCTTATCTACACATTTTAGAGAAGAAATTACTTCTACAGAGCTGGTTTCAATTATTGCAGTTGCAGCATCTACAGGATTAAAACCCTCCCTACCTCTTCACAGCAACGTCTGCTTACAATAGCCCTGTAGTCAATTCTACTCCACAGTTGATCTCTTAACTTTAAGAAATCAGGGAAGAGTTTTCTCCACGTCTTTCCCAAAGCCCAAGGGAAAATGTCATATTTTGATTCTTCATCATCTTCTTCAACTGTATTTGCCAGATACCTTCAAACATATATGTTTGTGTCTGTAAATACTATTCTTTCTGAATTGTTATATTAGTATTATTTTTAACATTAAAGACATTTAAGACTAAAAATTTCTTTCCTAATACTGTGAGAAAAAATCCTAACAAAACACAGCCTTCTCTCAGGACTCTCTTAGGAAGCCCCATCTGTATCCTCTGGGTTAATACAAACTTATAGGAAAGTATTATAAAAATTGCTTTACCCTAAAGTTGGCTAAATGAGTAGGTATATAACAACAAACATATCCTGACAGCTTTCTCAAGCAAGCAAGATATCCTTGCATTAAAATGAACAGTTTCTGACTGATCCTTTAAGTAAAGCTTAACACTATTTTGTGAAATTTTAAACTTTAAATTTTCTTTTTTCTTGATTTTAGCTGTTCTTGGAAGATTATGTTTCTTACATTAAATTCGCAGCAAACAACTAAGTATAGGGCAACCTTCATGTAAAAATGACATATTTTAATGTTCATATTTCTTTAGGCCTTCACTATGATGTGCCACTTTTGTTTCTTGGTCTTCTCTCCAGACAACAGGAAAATACTTTACCTCCTATGAAGCCACCTGATACTGAATTCCTGTAAGTCATACCTGAAAAAATTATAACTTTCAGTTTCCCCTCCATTTCCTCGCTTGCTCTTAATCATCGCAGTCTTCTCTCTAGTCCCAGTCTCACTAGACTCCTTGTCTCTCCCCACTCTGGTCTGGCTTTTGCCCCCTTCATTGAAGTGAAATGGCTTCCCCTTCAGTGCTCTGTGGATGCTCTCAGGAATACCGTTTATCATAGAAGAAACAGCTATCCTTCCGTCTGCACTAGCGCCCAAACCAGAGCTGCTGAGAACTACACTTACTTACAAAAAAAAAAAAGATGACCTGCGCTCCAAAACACTGAAAAAGCATGCTGCATCACTCTGTAGGTATAGCGCGCACGCTTGGCCAAATAAGGGTAGGTGATACAGGCTTAGTTAAGTCAGATTCCTGATTGCACTTCTATTTCAAAGCATAGTGATTTTAGAACTGTTCAGAAGAAAAGAAGTTCTCAGAAATTCTCTACCTGCATTTTTAAAGTTGACTGAATCATGCTGACAAAATTTTTCTCATAAAGTTATTCCTGAAGTGCACATCAGAACAAAACATTTCAGTGCAAATGTCTTAAAAGCTGGCAAAAACATAAAACTGGGTATTATAATAGGAAGTGTGAGCCATAGTATGTTGCCCTATATTGCCCTATGCGGATTTTTTTCAATTTTTTTCAAGTTCACAGATTTTACAGTTCTGTAGACAGAATTCCATTCTGTGTACATAATTACACCACAGATGCAAATTTCCCCTCACTGCTGCTCAAACCTGTTCCACACAGGTGCCCATCAGAGGAATAATATCCAATTTGCTCTATTTATCTATTATGGGTAGATTACATTTCTATGCTTATATAGAACCCAGTCAATTACAAACTGATTAAAGAAGTCTGCAAATCAGAATTACCAGTGCTATAAACAAAGGAATGAACTAATGCAAGGTTTATGCTAATAAAACCAGGTAATTTAAAAGTACTTACAGAGCAACAAAGAAATTGATTCTGGTATGCTCATTTATTGTGAAGTTAGCCCTCTTGAAATAAACGAAAGTCATTGCCAAAAGATACTGTTTTAAAATGTAAAACGTTACATTCATTATTATGCATTAATATATTGTTTCACTATAACATTTCCTAAATGCTTATC